TAGTAGGTCAGGTAGGATATGTGCGAAGCAGGAAGGATCTGGGCAGGTATTATATTTCCGGGCAAATGGCAGGCATACCTACCAAGAGGATTGGTACCTTCCTTGCCTCAAATTGTAACGCTCCAAAGAAGCAATAATATATGGGAAGTCATGGGTCAAGGTTGAGGCGAAAAAGTGGTCAATCAGTAAGAAAGGAAGTACTGAGGTAGAAGGAGGAGGTAACTGGAAGGACCAGAGGTAAGGTAAGGCAAAGGGTAAGGTGAGGTTGGTTCTCCTTCCTCCGTCTACCCATCTCAACCTAAACTTAATTTATAATAGTTAGCCGTACTTTCCTACGTAACCTACGCACCAATGTGCAGCTAAGGTACCTCCTTACTGTACATACCTAGGTAGGTACGTTACAGGGCAGTTAGGTCTGCCACCCCCTCCATTACATCTATTGGACAATTACCTCTTCAACACAATGGACACTTTGTTTCTCTGAAAATGCCCATTTTTGACCTTGGAACCAATGCCCAGTCAGGCCGAAACACAACTAAACTTTCCAGGGTGAGTGATGAATTGAGGTTAAGTGACAAGTGATCAGTGCTAAGCGAACCTCTAAGTTACCAACTCATCCTTGTCTCGGTTGTCTCAACTCTCAATCCCCCCTGCCCCTGTACAAACCTCACTTTTCTTCTTCAGCGGGAGGGAGCAGGAGCAGCATCATTGAGCCTAGACACTGACTGCTACATGCATGCATGCACTAGACTAGACGATACTGGATTGCCCGTTCTTCATTCACCAACGGACTCCATTCGAGGGACTGTACGGCATCCCAGCGCCCTCCAAAACCACCGATTCGATACCCTCTGCCTGGCTCTGGGGCAGACCCCACGCCTGTTCGAGTCTAGCTGTGGTGCTACTGCACAGCTAAGCTGGAAAGGAACCCCATTTTCCGTGTTCGCATAGAGGTACATACTATAATTACAGAGAGTAACCAGTCTGCTTGGTACAGAAGGCGACACATATCCAAAATGAGGCTCTTGACAATTCGAGCACGAGAACGAACCATTGAAGCCACTTGCGATCACAGTCCGCAATTAGAATTATTTCACGACAACCTCGTCATGCCAATGGTTGCACAAGCATGCGCACACACGCTCATTCAAGCACTCGTCATGCATCCAGCGGTACTCTCTCGGCTGCCGCAGCCATCACCAAGTTCCAGGTACTTACTCCCGGTCGATCGACTCCCGTGCACGGGAGACCAGCGCCCACTCACGATGGCGCAGGTGTGGTGCAGGTCCCTTGCAAACCTGTGTCTTGCTGTTCACGCCCCTGTTCTTGTTAACTGCGTGTCATCGTCCGTGGCCCTGTAGTATCCATCCATACCTGGGTGTTGTTCCTTGGATGGACCTTACGGCGTTCCCGTCAAACGCGCTTGGATATCTAACTAAATTCTTTAGTCCATTCACTGGTCTGCTATATTTCAGCTGGCCAACTGCGCTAAGAATCGCTGGCTTAAGTTCAATCCCTCAGCTCATCAGAGTTTATTCTCTGCTGCATACGAAAATCTTCGTGCCGTGCCTCTTTCTGAAGCACCAGTCTCTCCCTCTATGCTATCTCCACCCCCGGCGCAGATCAAGAGCAAGAACGACCTTCATGGGTCTTTTAATATTACTCAACAAAGCTGATGGTTGGCCCACGAGACCTCCTCAACTCCAAGACATTTAACAGGGGCCTGGAAAGAGGCTTGTCCACTAATGCATCGTTCCCTCTTGTTCGAGGATCAGAGCTGAGGCGCAACAGGGGTCTAATACTGATTCCAGCAGCTTGGTTGGTCAATCCTCACATCTTTCATGTCTTTTCCAGATTGTTAGGGGCGCGGAACTCACGACCCAGTTCTACGGTTCCTAGCTGCCGGTTCTCTCAAAAACTAATGACAGCTACAGCCACCAGGTTGCCTAAATCTGGGAACCACCCACCCGGTGTCAGTTGACTCGACGAGAACAATATCGATAGTCTCAATGAGGGTCCAGACGGCTCGGACCAGCATCTCTGCCACCGTGCCCGACACCATCGAACTGTCGTATCGGCCATCAGTTCTCATCTACAAGGAATATCTAGACTCTAGAGGGCCGAGATCCACTAACATCACAATTAGACAGTAACAACACAGACATTTGAGTGACAGCGGGATGCACTCCCCCAAAGGTCATGAAAAGCAAACAGGGCGATGGCACCTTTCAAAGAGAGCCAGGGCCCAGTCCCTGGGATGACTTAGAGAACCCCACCGATGGCATGCAATGGATGCCGACATTCTTACTCGTCATGACTCGTGCCGGGCCTAGCATGGTAGCAATGCAGATGAACGAACAGTCAACCAACAAAGTGCAACGCTGTTATGGCACCCAGGATCACGACATTGTTAGATGATATGCGGACAACAGACCCATCACGTACTTTCCAATCACTAGGGCCTGATAAGGATTGTTTGTGGGCCTGGCTCAGCTCCCTCAAGTACATACAGCTTCAGAACCCACGAGGATCAGGCTACATGCTTCGCTTGGCATTAGTCGAGTGTATGTATTCCTGCTGGCCGACATGCGAGGGAACCGTTGATGTTGGCGATTCCAAGACAAATCCTTTTGACACAGCAGCTCTACTACACGATCGCTCAACTTATCCAAGCTCAGTTCCAGCGATGGACTGGAGGCAGAGGGGTGCAGGTTCTGGGCCTCCCAGGAATTTCTAACCTAGGGGAATGACCCTGAGTGCAGAGCTTGGCCGTCTGGTTATAGTTGAGGAGTATGCAAACGATGTGTGCCTCTAGTTGTTCTGATTGGTTGTCAAACCCTGGCAGTTCCAGATATTCAAAGGGTTGAAGTTGGCAGCACCCAACAGTCTCAGAGAGTTCAAGATTAGATCTGCAACTCTGCTCTGACGGCTCGGTTACCATTCCTTCGAGCAACCCCTATCAACAGAGTGGAGAATGTGTGACGCAGTTTTCAGCTGTGACCTTTGCAATACTGTTTCGATCCTGGGTCAAAAAAGCAATGTCAAGCCTGTCATGGTCCAGAAACCCCAAGACAAGGATGTACATGTGGCTATCAGATCAAGTCGGTCCGGCGAGGGTAGTACGATTGCACTTGTGTAAGCGATATAACTTTAAAACCGCTGTTCATGGGTCAAACGCTATCATATCATATATATTGAGGCTGTTTGGGCCACGCATGGTGGTCTACAAAATCATTACAATTGTCCTGATAAGGATTGATTGAGCGGTTTGTGTTTGGAACCGGCCGAAAAGCTGTAGGGTTACAGCACATTGCAACTTTTTGGCGAGCCATTGAGACGACAAGCCTAATTTGGGGTGGCGATTGGATACATACTTTGTCAAACTACCGACAAAAGGGTTTTACAGCCTCCCTTGCCTTGCCTTGGATGGTCCGATGATGTGACAACTGGAGCAAAGCGACTGAGAAAAAGTGATAGAGGCGTGAGTTCAGTGTCTTGATGGACAAAAGTCATTTAGGAAGTCTAACCAAGCGTTGGATCAAGCCATATCACAGTGCAAAGACTTGATGGTTGAACGTGCAGCTTTACGTCAAAGGATAAAATTATGCGCCACTCTCCTACACGCATACTGCAGTTTCGAAGTGGAACCAATCATACAGTACATATGAAGAGGATGCTTGGAGTAGGGCAATTCCCCTCTCAGCACAGCAAGCTCCTGCACCTGACATCATTGCAGATTGCGGAAAAAATGGCCTTATCAATCGCATATGTTTTTCTCGGAGCGATCATGTAAGAAGCCGAGAGCCTCAACTGTCAATCGTCTTCCACAAAGACTTGCCCTGCCTACGGATGGTGGGTGTCCCGAGCCCAAGTTGGTTAGCGAGACATGAAACACGAAAGAGAGAAGAGAAAACATGGGGCGCGTGAAGGTTCCAGTAGGTCGGGAACATGATGGAAGAAAGAAAGAAAGAAAGAAAGGGAAGAGCATGTATGTGGCAGCCTTGGACGTGCGTGATCGAGGACACACCGGATCTCTCGTGCTACCGGTCGAAAGCATAAGTCGAACTGATAGATCGAATGTCATGTCACACGAGCCACGGAATGATTGATGGTCAGAGGAGACAGATGCACAGTCGTAGGGCTGGCGGGTGACGGATAGCCGCAGGGATCCTCCTATCGTGTCGTGTCTACGGAGTAACAAGGAAAAGAAACGAAACGAAACGATGAATCAAAAGGTGGCTGGCAAACATGACGATTCCTTGGCTTCCGTCGCAACAACGCCACAACAGGGGTAGCTCTTGGGGTGACACAAACACCCGTTTCTTACCAAGATCTGCTGCCCCTGTTGAAATGATCTGCTGCCGTCGCAATGTCTCGGATCGGTAATGGGTCCCGGGGCCGAAATATCACGGACATGTCAAGTGCAAGGCTTGCAAGCTTGCATGCTCAGTCTCTGACGATCCATACAACACAGCACAGTACTGGACCTTCTCCTTATCTCGTCGGACTTTGTGAGACAGCATTTTAGGGGTTCTTGGTGTCATCGATTCGACTATCTTCGCTTTACAATACTATACAATACAATACACTTCACGGAACCAATCTGAGGCTCGGCCCCCCCTTGGACCAATGCAATGCAAGGAGGGTGGGATATGATGCCCTAGGAATTGTACGGATACCGTGCGTCGTGGATCTAGTGCATCTTGGCAAGTCTCTGCGCCGCTCGTGTGCTTGATCTCGTTCGTGCAGGATCGTGACATGAGTGAGTCACTGGGCTTCTCCTGAAGACGCAGTATTGCAGGTTCTCCCTGGGTGCCTGGCAAGCCTGTCACAGCTCGAATTGGAAACAGTGTAGCCTGTCCTAAATATGCTAGTACGTAAGTCTTGTCTCGGCGAACTCGAGTGAGTAAACTGCCAAGGTGCATGTTCGAATCGTACTGTAGTGTGTGTACTGTAGTGTGTGTACTTGTAGTGTAGTGTACTTTACTGTGTGTACTCTATCAGCCAGCGAGTGCCTTTCCTATCAGCTCCTTGGCCCTGTCGCTGTGGTTCATCTCGAGGGCCAGCTCCCGGCCCCTTTCTCCCATCTTGCCCCATGTCTTCTGGAGGATGCCTATCATCTTTGCCTCGTCCAGATCCGACTTCTTCTCAAAGTCGTCAAACTGATCGTCAAGAAAGACCAGGCATGCTGTGTCCTCAAGAACCTGTGTCTCTTCATCCGCCTTGAGGTTCTCCTTGCGGATCAGGGCAGCCACTCGAGCGCGGTCCTCCTCGGGAATGGGGGGTTGAATCTCTGGAGAAGCAAGGAGCTCGGCAACTTGATCGGCGGCCTGAGCCTTGAGCTTTGCTCTCCAAGTCAAGTAGCCGGGACGAGTCATTGGGTAACTGCTTCGAGGGATCTCCCATCTGTACATGTTTGTAAGCATTGGGACTTGCGAGGAGCTCCAGATTCTGACCTTCGGAAGTGCTGTGCTCGACAGGCGAGCTGGAGAACAGGACTGGCGTCAGGGCATCGGCTGGCGAGCCACTTGGTCATCTTTTGAGCGTAGTTGAGCTCGAATGGGATCGTGGTGCCGTCGGGGGCTTCGACTGTCCTTGAGTCTTGGGCATGAGCAGCGTCGATGAGCTCGAGACCTCGGGCGTACTCGGCGGGGAGGGGAGGGAGATGGTCGGTCATTGTGAGGCCGTTGTTGATAGTCTGATACTGTCTAACTGTCTTTTCGGATGCTGCCCTGAACACTATGAGTTAATAGCGGACAGAAAAGAATCGGGTTTGAGAATGTATGGATATCTTTGAACTGTGTGTGATGAAGATGATAAGTCTCGAATGGTGTCGTGAGATGAGTCAGCAGCATTGGCAGGTGTCCCATTGGATCTAGTGTGCGTGGGTGCTGTGCTCCATGGGACTATCTCCGAGGACCAAGGTCACATCATGATATTGAAACAACAATACTTTTCATGCAGATTTAAGGATTTGTTCTAGAGCAATGCACCGTGTGTTAGTATAAGCACCTTTGTTAGTTCTAGTTGCTCAGGGGGACAGCTGCAGTGGGTTATTGTTCTATGTGCCAGTGACAATGTTCGTCCCCAGATGCAAAAGGCAGCACAAACAAGGAAATTCTGATCATCCGTTGTACGCTCTGCGTTCCTGGTATCCATCAGAAGTAAGTGTGTAGAGAATATAGGCCATTGCTCGTTCTCACATCGCCCTGTGGTCCCGTGCCCAGTGAAGGAAGCCCCCCTAAGCGTCCGACGGGCCATAAACCAATCGAGCAGTGCAGCACTGACAGTGGCAAGCCAACTGTACATTGCTTCTGCACCTCGAGCCCAGCCTAGAAAGTATTTCATCTTGCATTTCGAAAGCGGCTGTGCTTGATTTCCCCATCTACCCTTACTCCTCATCACAGACCTCGAGTGTTTCCCTCTTCCTCAACATTCCCCTCAGAGCAATACTGCATCTGCAAAGAACATATCTTGCAAAGGGAAGATATTATCTTACTTTCTTCCCTCCCGTCGCTTTCTTTTCCTTGCTATCATCACCCAGCCCGGTGCTGAACCCTTTGCTATCACCATTCTTTCTTGATTCTTCCTCGCGAGGCAAGATCTCGCTCCCTACTCATATCGAGGCATGTGCAGGCTTTTCAGAGACTGTTGGGCATCAGTATTGACATATAGTAATAGCATTGACATCACACGAGCGCCGTGATAGGCTCTTTGCTCCCCGCCCTCGAAAACAGATGAGCAGGCGCTTCCTACCTCTTCTCCCTAAGTGAACACACCACTCACTACTCATTCGAGGTATGTAGAGACTTGTTCAAGACTTATGAGCCTTACATGTTAAATCGTAGTGACAGTATCGATATCGACATCGACACGCAATCGTCGTAGTAGATCCGTCGTTTCGCAACACTCGAACACTCAAACACTACTTCTTGATTCTGCTCTGCAGCACATATCAACTTCGCTTCCAGCCTCTAGGTATGTTAAGGGTCGATCGGGACTGACAGGCACATAATACTCACTAACTTTCGATGATAGTACTAGCATCAACGCGTAGTCGTGGTTAGTTCCTTTGCTCAAGACACTTAGACTGTACCTCTTTATTCAGCTTCGACGCTCTACACCTCTCACTGCTCATCCTGAGGTATGCACAGGTTTGACGAGATGGATCTGATGAGTGCCAAATGCTAATTTGTGGTAAAGTGTCAGCATCATCACCATTCGGGCATACTCATATTCAGTCCTACTCCCGATACCAAGACATCCGGCACATCATGCAGAGATTTCCCATCCCGCCGCCCACTTGGGCTGCATACAGACAGCATCAAGAATACTATGATCGTTTATACCAAGGGCTCAATGGTTCCTGGTATAACCACAACACTGTTGTCCCCGGCTTCATTGAGTTGCCAGCAGATTGTGTGCCCCGACCCCCGGCTGTCAACCAAGCATCGTCCTCTCGGGCGAGCCCGGATCCTATTAATCCTACTATGCACTGCGATAAGCAGCTCGGTAAGCACTGCGACAAGGCCTGTTGTAAGCTCAAGCCTAAGGCTCGAGGCCGCCGTGTAACAATTGCCACTGCCAGTGATGAAGAGAATGGCGTTGTCACAGATACTGAAGGCAACATCACGGACAGCTCCAACCCTGTCGTCAAGAGCAAGATGACTACCAAGGCAAAGGGAAAGGATAAGGCGGTCCAGACTGATGATGATGCCTCGACTGACGCTGAGACGTCGGTCCTTTCATCCGTCGCCTGCCTCAGGGACCCCAAGTGGTCTCTTTCAGAGGACTGCCGCCTTCGCAGCATGAAGGAGGCCGGCGAGACCTGGGCTTTCGTCTCGGAATCTCTGTGCAAGACAAAGGACGATGTCCGAGCTCGCTGGAAGATACTCCAGAGTCAGTTGCGTGCCAAAGACACTGTCAAGGACACTGGTACTGACACTGACAATGCCGCTGAGGAGGGGTCTGTCGATGATACTACCGACGATGAAGAGTCTGCTGAAGGCGACGAAGAGTCCGATGCAGACGACGAGGAGTCTGATGACGATGAGGAGTCTGATGATGAGGAGTCTGATGAGGAGGAGTCTGATGATGAGGACGACGACTCTGATGATGATGAAGAGTCCGACGAGGACTCTGATGGTGACAACAACAAGATTGCGAAGCCCAATCACGTCCACGGGGCCATGTACCCTACTCATCACCACCCACAGCCTAATGCCCCCTGGGTCAAAGGAGACTGCGCCCTCCTTGCTACCATCGACAGCAAGTATAAGCGATCTCGCTGGCTCGAAATGCAGGCCAATTTCTACAATGTCACAGGACAAATGGTCCCTCTTGTATGCTTCAAGGCCAGATGCGAGCGCGTTGAGGCCGAGAAGGCGGAGCGTTCCAAGACCCGCGAACTCGAGAAACGCATGAACAAGGTCGAGGACTGGATTGCGAAGCAGGAACGTGAGAAGTCGGCCGAGTCTGAGGACTCTGAGGACTCCGACGACTCGGATGAGTGATTCACTCCACTCGGGTCAGCCAACATCGTATCACGATAGGTGCGTTGCGTGAGTCTTTTTGACGGAATTCATCACAGAGTGACTCTCGACTGTTGCGAGTCTCTACAAATAGAGGCGAACATGCCCGGCCAAGATGATTGAGGTTTTGTTCTCGTTATTGCTGTGTTTTTCTTGGCGTTAAGGGAGTAAAAGGAATAATTCGATAGATACCATCGTGATGGCTCAAGTTACGTTTTGGTAACTTAGACGGGGACAAATCTGAGACTCAGTCAATCATAGAAGCACAGCGAATTAGAGAAGAACAGAAAAATAAACAAGCCGGAGGGATGTCCTAGGTATTTGTTTTTTTGAGAAAAAGCAACATGCTTGCTACCTTGGTGATGAATAAATCAGCTATTAACTGCGTGCGCCCGGAAATGCAACCGACACCTGAGCTTAACATCAAACTCCTTTCTCTATTTTCCTAACCTCGGTTCCATGCAGAACTAAAGCATAACCGTAGAAGCTAAAATTTTGTACTATATCTGATGATAAATAAATAGGGCAATGACCCAATGCAGATACACAAAGATACAAATAGTTGTGGGTATCAAATAACAGGACAGAAGTGAAATAAGACCAAATGTGCGCTGAGGACAGTGTAGGCTGGGATGGGCTGGGCTCTGACGGGTGGAAGTCAATTGTAAATCAGCCGATTGATAGGTACAATACCAGAAGAGTTCAGCAACACCTGTCTCCAGGTGATGTGCGTTCCGGTCCTCGTGCCAGAGTCACCATGGGAGGGCTTTGCTGTTTCATCAGCAAGCTAGTGCTTCCATGGCCTGATGCAAACTTGCGCTGTTCGTGTCGATATCTGAGATGCCCACAGGAATGTGATTTGATGTGGTGTTGCGGAACGGGCCGTTCGGCGTGAATCAAATTTGGGGCCCCTTTAGCGTGAGACGACTTAGACCCGAGCCGTGTTTCTGCTCATCTCAGTCGGTGTCGCTCAATTTGCTTCAGAGCCGTTCGTCAAGCTACCACAACTTTCTCAAGTTGTTACGAGTATTGTGGCCTGTGTTGGGTACAATGAGCAACTGACCATGCCCTATTCAAATGGGGTTCTCCATTCCTGGAGGGGGAGTGGCTCTTGGCATGGGATTTTGGTTCACCACTGGAGGTTTACGTAGAGTACCACTGGTGCCGAGACCGCGTTTCATCATCTTGCCGAGGACCGTAACCAGCTCGCAAGCATCACCAAACATGTCGTCGTCCATTCCCTCCGTGGCCTCGTATACTTCCGCGATAGTGTCCTTGGCAACTTTCCGACTTCCTTCAGCATCGTGAACACATTCGTATAAGAAGGCAGCATATTCAGTTTTGACAGAGAGGCGAAGAGAGTGAGAGCCCCAGAGCATCGAGTCGGCAAGCTGGATAGCCTCCTGAAAATGCTGTTTTGCCTCAGGAAGGTAGTCTTTGGCTGGGATGAGAAAGTTGGGCGATAACGTAAAGTTTTGGTCTTCAAACCCCGGGGGAGGCAATACTGGCCCCCCTTCGAGGGGGTGAGTTGGTTGAACAGAAGAGGGCCTAGATTCGACTTCCATGTCGGCAGCACGTCCCTTTCCCTTATCCAGGCGCGGCGTCAATACAGCAGTGACATCTGGCGTTTGTCTTCCCAAGTTTGAGACCGAGGGTGTGTTGCCAAAGAGAGCAAAAATATGTGAGAAAGAGGCACGAAGTTTGTAGGCGAGGACCTTGAGTTCGACATAGTTGCCAACCATTGGTATGACATATTGTTCAAGCATTACCTTGCCCTCCCGGGAGAGCCATATGATACGCAAGACGCGCCGTATCGCGTTAGGTGATGGCTCATAGTCAGGCCGGCGCTGCTTCTTTGCGGCAACAAGCTGTTCGGCAAGGTTGAGAGACAAGCCGAGAATCTTAAAGAGCATGCTGGCCAAGAGAGGATTGTCATTCTCGACAGCTTTGGCAAGCTTGCCGAGAAACTTCTGGTCGACTTCAGAGGACGCCATGCAGCTCAGCCGGTACGTTCAAGGTGAAACTTGGGTGTAGGTGGGCTAGGCGTAGAATGGTCCACGACTGAGACTAGGGACTTTGCTTTAGTTTAGATATATCGACTAGGGCGACAGAGGGGAGGGGCGACGAGGGTGGAGGAAATAGCCTCGCATATGAATCAAAGCACGGGTGTCAAGCGTCATCGACGACAGCAGGACATGCGACGAAAGAGAAGCAGGGAAATATGAGAATATGGAGGCAAGGAGAAGGAGGTTGGCTGAACTAACCGTTAACGAGCTCCACAGCTGCAGCAAAACGCACGGCGGGAACGACGCGAAGTGCGCGCAGGTCGTTGCAGCAGCTCACACGATGCAGCCCGGATGAGAGGCAGCCAGAGCGAACTGGGACTCGTGAGGCAGAGCCTATTACTTGGTCTGTAGAGGGGCGACTCTACGGGGACGGCGAGCCAAGTTGAAGGCGCGCAAGACAGCTGGCAAGCTGTGATTGGGTCCGATGCGTATTGGTGACTTTGACTCGGATTGTAGTGATTAGATGAGATTTGGAGATGCAGAACGACAGCGTCAGGAGAAGAACGAGTGACATATGACGCTTAAAAGGCGCAGTATCGACCAAGGAAGCTTCCTGAAACCAATTGGCCTAATCCGAGTTCAGAGTCGAACTGTACGTGACGGCGCATACGCATGAACTGTCAAAAACCCCGGTGTTGATCAACTGCGGATGCTTCAACGTGCAATGACGACGAATAAGAAGCAGGTGAGTAAAACGCGAGATTGAGATTGAGGACCAAGGCCACGGGGACTACAATGAAAAGCTCGATAACAAACGAACGAGAGACTAGCAGCAGGAAACAAACGCAGAATTAGCGGCACCGAATAGCATGGCGGAAAAACGAGCGACAGGATGGGAGGCTCGTTTGAAGGAAGTTATACGGCCAACCACTCGCGCGCGGTGTTGAAGACGGACGGGAGCGAGAGTGACCAGCAAACAAGGACAAGCCGAGGCGCCTCCAGGTTCAGCGAATGACTGGGGCAGGCGGTGAGCAGAGCGGGTAGCAGACAGTCCTAGGCCTGACAAGACGGTCAGTGGGTTGCTGACGGGGGGGCCTCTGTTCAAAGCCAGGTCTGTGAGATGGACGGACAGGCTAGACCAGGGGACCCTGAACACCAAAAGGCACTGCTATCAACAGTGCACCACTGAGCGTGGAGAGTCTCGACAAGGGTGGAAGGGTTCCAGAGCTTGTCTAGTCTGATCGGACGCTTGTTTGAAGATAATGATGAGAGATGACTGACAGGCGCAAGGACGATATTTGATAGTCTCGAGGTTCCGTTGGAGTCTGATTTCAAGATCCGGTAAGTTATATTGTTGAGTAATGGTACGAATGCAATTTTGTCGAGTTCGATAGGTGGTTGATTCTGTTGGCAGGGTAAACAAAACTTGCTCTCGCCAAGTCGATCAAACAAGTGATAAAATGTGTACTATTTTTGTCGTTCCAGATTGACGTCGTTTAAATGGACCTTTGCCTTCTGTACAAAGTTGCCAGATGCACCTCGATCGACATTGATGTGACACAATTTGAGGAATTGAAGATTCGAATTGTAAGATGAAACTGGAGAGAAGAGTTCAGAAGTGACACACGCGCCACAAAGAGCACAGCACAGAAGAGCGCAGCGCAGCACACGGGGGTTAGGTGAAAATCGACGCGGCACGACGCGGTACGTTTCGCAAAGACCGAGTGAACCTTACTCTGAGAGTCTTGGTAATAAGAGTGAAGAAAAAAACACGGACCCAACGGGCAGGTGAGTTAGGTAAACGTCAAGGATATTCGAAATAGGTCAAAGTGCGAAGAGGCGGCGGGACCGATGTATAAGGAGGCTGGGGATATCGGCAATGTCAAAGCCAAGTCATGTAGGGAAGAGGAAAAGTTTGAGAGGAAAAAGTAAAACACAGAAACATCAGCGTCAGGTGGAAATGAGGTTCATGTCCGACGCACCTCCCTCATGTATGCTCTTTCCTACCTGAACACGGCATGAACAGACAATTTTGGGCACAAAAAGGAAAGATACCTTGGGTAGATGTCCTCCCTTCCTTCACTTCCATCTTGTGGCTTGTTCTCGACATGGATAGGTAGGCCCAGATTTTGAGTTTTATTTCCTAACTGGGCGTTTCCGTTGCAAATCTAAGGTACCTATCTATCTCATCTCTGTCTCATTGTAAAAGTTAATACTCCGTACTACAGCCATAGCTACCTACTAAGGAAAGTAATTAGGGTGGGTTACTTTCACATGAGAAGCTTTCAAAAGTTAATCTTAACTTTTTGAGCACATCCGTCCACCAGCGCAAATGTTACTCTGCTCCCCGTTGGACCGTACAGTTACAGTCAGATCTCAACGGTCTCCCCGAACTGGGAACATGCTTGACCGTTCAGTTTTACTTACGGAGTAGTGAAAGACACAATTACAAGAACAAATACGGAGTAGCGAGTGTTCAAAAGACACACAGCTGACCCACAGACGGGGATTATCCCGAGACCTGACCCGCAGACTAACTCACTAACAACCACCGTCTCAGACTATAATGCACTGCGATGCGATACTTCAACATCAGCGTCCGTATGTGGCTCAAGCCTGATGACCATTGAATTCATGCATGCATGACGATGGAGAGCCGTTGGCCGTTGGCTATAACTACGCAGTATGAGGTAATATGACCCATAGTTGTCTGTCTGTAAGGCTTGCTCGACCTTGCTTGACATTGTCACTATCATTCTCTGTTAGACTTCAATGCAGCACAAGTGTAAGTATATACCTCCCAAGTCACAACACATCTCACAATTATGACCCAGGCCTAATCACAGCTGCTTCAACCCTCTATATTCTCCCATGGACGTCAACATCACATTTGTCTTTAATCACTTTCATCCAATTGTTCCCATATCTGGATGTACGCTGCTGACTTGGCCTTTAAATGTGATCCACGTCTCTTTAACCAATCGTCGTCTACCCTGCACTTCCCAGCCACCTGAATTACAACTCCCACCATCTCGTGCGTATCTTCCCTCCCACTCAATCATGATCCGTCCGACATCACGGGTGGCCTCTCCTTATGCGACCGCCCTCTCGAACACGTAGCTTATGCAGAATCCAATTACTCGTCGCCTCGATCAGGCTAATTCTGCTCTCTTCACTCACGGACCTCGACCTGACGATTTTGACTTACACGTTACCTATAAGCCCCATATTCAGCTACGAACAAGTCTAGAATCCCAACCTCTCGGTTTTTGACAGCATCCCACTTCACGTCCTGTTTTTGCTTCTTGCTCCTCGCTCAGCTCCGAAATCCCAACAAGGCAGAAGCATGACGGCAGCGGTGAGTTTTCTAATCGAGCTGCTGGTCCCTTAGTTCCGGCGGGTTTGTTGCCATATACCATTTAACCTCGTCCACCTTTGAGAAAATACAAACAGGCACAGAAAGCAATTGAGTACTGAGAAATATGAACATATCTTGCTAAACTATCTACTCCCCCTTACCCCTGAAACCGTTTCCAATCATCTATGGTATCCGCACCAGCCTGTTTGTGTGCCTTCTCCTGACTCCGATCGAATATTCCCAGCTATAGAAAATGACTCCGTTGCGCCTCTCTACTCCAACCCAGACGTGTGCGCCTAATACTCACAACAGTCCTTGCCTGCCAAATGCCCAATATTCCGAGACAAAAAGCTCCAATCCTCGCTGGTAAGCCTAAGTCCAAGCCCTAGGTCGTACCAGTGCGCCTGGCTTTCGACGCCTGCTTCCGATATTCAAATTTTCCAAGCTCTTATCTGCCATACCATTCTCAAACCGCTCGTGCCCTCCAACTGTGACCAGTTTCACTACATTGCCAAAGCTAAAGGCAACTGATCGCTGGCCGACTCGAACCATGGGGCCAATATCTGTCACGATCAAGTGTCCAGCTCTCTCGTTATCTTGAAATAGCGGTCGCGTCTCGTCAGTTCTTAACTGGCCACTCTGCGGCGCGGTCCAAATCTCCCAACGACCAAACAAATCCCGTCCTGGTTCTTTGCGCGGGGATCGGTGTCGAAGCCCATCTGCTTTGCGCCGTCCGTTGGTTTCGACATCTAGAACTCGGGTTGGCTTTTGCCGAATGCCCACAACACAACCGTCAGATAGAACACTCCATGAGCCAGGGTTCTCTATATGTCTTTTTGTTTCCTTGACTGATTCCAACGCACACCAGCCTGGAGCTTCGGGGACCACAGAGCTTTGGTAATAAATCATGTCATGCTCTCCTGGAGGGACAAAGGTTTGTACAATGCAATCCCCTGACTCAGCTCCAGTATAACATAAGGTTAACCATGCAAGGCCATTGGACACTGGCTGTGAGGAAGGCCGGACGAAGAAAGCGCTTTGAAGTGAGCGCTGGGCCATGGGTTCCGTTGAAAACGTATAGACAAGATTGTAGTCTTCCATATCCACGAGATGAACGCGACTGATTCCTGCAATCAAGAAAAGACCCAGTGAAGAAAGAGGCACTACTTGATGAACTCCGTCTTGTTCAATGCCCTCAAGATGAACACTTCGGGAATTCCAGGAAAGCGTCTCTCTTGTCGCTGCGTGAACACAGCCTCTTCTAGATGCGGTGATAATGGCAATTAATGGCGCTGCCTGCTTGCTCCCTGTTTAAATGATATTAGTGCATTAACCATCTCTCTGCGAAAAATAGTACTTACGCTTCCCGATCAGAGGTCTGACACATGTAAGTGGACTTCTACAGATGCCGTAGTCTGCCCCTTCTCCTGCTTCCGGCATGAATTCGGTAAGTGTCCCGTTTCTGCATACGAGAACCAGTCGAGGAATATCGCTGTTTGTGTCGGACGAGCCAAAAAAGAAGGCCTCAGATTTCTGGCCTTGAAGGTTGACGGAGAGTGGAGGCCCCCAGACTTTGTCTTTTATGTTCCATAAAGCTATCTTGGTGGGTGATAATATGGCCAACCACTTA